TCCGTCCCATACACCCCTTTACTTCGGCCACATAGCACAGCCTGTTTGGAATTATCAATTTAGGGATCCCTGGGTGGCGCAGCGGTTTAGCGCCGGCCTTTGGCCCAGGGCGCGATCCTGGAGACCCTGGATCGAATCCCACGTCGGGCTCCCGGTGCATGGAGCCTGCTTCTCCCTCTGCCTGTGTCTCTGCCTCTCTCTCTCTCTCTCTCTATCATAAATAAATAAAAATTTAAAAAAAAAGGAATTATCAATTTATTGTGCATGTCTGTCCCTGTCGTGGCTCTGTAAGCCCCATGAGGGCAGGGACTGCTCTCCTTGTTCACCCTGTAGCTTCTATAACAAGCAAAGTGTCCAGCCTGGAGTAGGTGTTATAAGTAGTTTTTGAGCGAATGAATATGGATTTGGGTGTGGTGTGGAGACAGGAGGGATGAGCAGGGAGGGAGGGTGGGGATGGGAGGTAGAAGGTGAAAAGAGCTGATGGCTAGTGTGGGGAGAGGGCAGTAATGAGGACGAGGTGTGCAGAGGTGAGGTTAGGGGTGGAGAGGAGAAGCAGGGAGGGGAGGACCAGGCAGAGGCATCTCTGTGCTGGGCCTGAGTGAGGCTGCCAGACCCTGAGTGGCTTCCCAGGAGCTCCGTCTCTTAGCCACGCTGCTGCTTGAGAGGTTTGGAGGCCCAGCCCTGGGGCGGGGCTAGACTTTATCTTGGGGCGCAGCCCTAACCTCAGATGGTGACAGAGTGGGAGCGAGCAGGGGTTTTGCAAACCGTCCCGATTGCAGCAGGCCGGCTGCTCACTCTGGACGGCGGGTGGGGCCTGGGCTTATCTCCACAGCGCAGCCCTAACCTCAGATGGTGACAAAGCGGGAGCGAGCAGGCGTTTTGCAAACCGTCCCGATTGCAGCAAGGTGGGATGGCCTGGCCAGGGGCAGCAGTGCTAGGTGTGGGGGGCAACAGAGGTTTGGACAGTTTGGGGCCTTGGAGCAAAGTTTGGCTTGTGGGGTGTCAGAGAGCCATTCTGTGTGCAGCCTGCCTCTACCTACCTCAGATCTCTGTTTCCATAAACCAAAGGGGAAGGCCGGAGCTCTGTAGGTGGGGCTCTCCCTGGTGGAAAGCCTGCTTTTTCCCAAGTCCTAGGACCCTTCTGCTACTCCAAAAGTCAGAACTGACAGCCAGTTGCAGCCATTTTGCTCTAAAAATACCCACCCCATCTCCAGCAGGGTAGCTTCAGGGAACTCCTTCCATGCCACTGAAGTTTTTTCTGGGCCCAGGCCTGCTTATAGTGCCCATTCACTGACAGGCCAGTCGGGAGTCCTGTCCAAGTCAGACCATCCCTACTTGGGAAGAGCGCAGGAAAGGAGAAGTGTGTTTGCTGGGGGCCGGCGAAGGGGAGGTGCACAGGCCCTCAGCCAGCCTTGGTTATGGTTGCTTCAGGATCTCCCATACAGCCCCCTGCATCCCATAGCCCCCTCCCTGGCTGGCGCAGGGTAGGGGTGGAGGTGAAGGGGCCCCTTTCCACCCCCACAACCCCAACCGGGATCTTGCAACACCGGGATGGGGGCCCTGGGGGCCCAGGCGTGTGGCAATCCATGGAGGGTGGGGTGGGGAGGTGTGCACCAGCAGGGGAGCAGCTTTCACAAGCAGCCACTGCAGGACTGACCTTGGCTGGCTCACCTTGGGCAGCTTCCTCTCTCTTCCCGGTATCACCAAATAGCCTTCCTTCTCAGAGAGAGAGGCAGAGACACAGGCAGAGGAAGAAGCAGGCTCCCTGTGGGGAACCTGATATGGGACTTGATCCTGGGACCCCCAGATCTCACTACCTGAGCCGAAGGCCCAATCACTGAGCCACCCAGGTGCTCCCCTGCTTGTTTATTTGATTTCCCCAAATGAAGTAATTAGTGAATTTTCTGAAGGTGCTTTGTAGAGGCATGAAGGAAGGGTTTGGGGGAAAGCTGCAAGGAATGATGAAGAAACTGGCTAGCTCCATTACTGCGCCTGAGGCCAGAGGGCAGGGATCTTGTGAGAGGAGGCAGTGGAGGGTGCCCGTCCCTGACAGGAGAGAGCTGGGGGAGAAGCACTCGAGTTGACCCTCCTGCTGCCCTCCAATGTCCTGTCCCTCCTGGAACACAGCAGGATGACCCGGGGTAGAGGGGACCTAGAAGGGCAAAGGAAGACACTCAGTGCATTTGCTTATTGCCTTTATCTTCCTACCCATTCAGCCAAGAGCTGGGTCTGTCTAGGTCACCACAGGGTTCTCAGCACCTTTCGAGGGCCCAGCACAGGCAAGATGCTCAGCAAATACTTGTTGAACAAATGACTTTGATCCAAACCAACTGAGGTCAGGTTAAAAGCCTTCTGCAGAAACTGTGGCTTCTCGCTACCTGTCATCTCCCTGGGACATGATCTGCCAGAGGATCAGGGCATGCTCACCACTTGTCATCATGCAGGGACCAGGTATGCTCCTTTCTCAGGGTGGGACTGTGATTCTTCACCAACCCTGGTGCCCTAGGCACCTGCCCTGAGGAGCCACAGGGTGGGTGGGGGGCTGGGAGGAGACCTAGTCCAGAGCTGTGGGAAAGCAGCATGGGGTTGATGCTGAAGCCACCCAGGTCCCATCACCCAGAATCTTGAAAATAAGTCAAGGGGCAGTGGTCTCGAGCTGAGAGGAGGAAATCCGGAGGTTGAGTCACTTATCCTGTTCTGTACAAACCCCCCTTATGCAACCCGATCCCCCGGGCTAGGAAAGGGAGGCGCGGGATTCTCCCGGGCATCCACATAGACAGAGACAGGCACCTCCCCTTACGAACTTGGGAGGCCCCAAGGGTAAGGGAATAGAATTAACCATCCAGTGAGGTTCATATCCATCTACCCAGACCAGATCTGGGGCAGTGGATCCAGGGATAGATGAAGGAGAGGGTGCCTGAGGGACACAGAGGCAAAGGCAAGAAAGGAATTGAGTCCTGAGTGAGGCAGCCACAGTGCACATGGATGCCCGAAGTGTATGAGGTCTCTGTTGCTGGGGATGTGGCGATGGGGCAAGGGTGGGAGACAGAGTGGAGACTGGGAGGACTCTGTCTCTCTTCCTGTCTCAGAAAGCTATTCCTTGAGGGGCGCCTGGGTGGCTCAGTGGTTGAGCGTCTGCCTTGGGCCCAGGGTGTGATCCTGAGGTCCCGGGATCAAGTCCCACATCGGGCTCCCTGCATGGAGCCTGCTTCTCCCTCTGCCTGTGTCTCTGCCTCTCTCTGTGTTTCTCATGAATAAGTAAATAAAATATTTTTTTTAAAAAAATATTTTTTTAAAAAAAGACACACACTGCCTGTGTCTCTGCCTCTCTCTGTGTTTCTCATGAATAAGTAAATAAAATATTTTTTTTAAAAAAATTTTTTTAAAAAAGGAAGTTATTCCTTGATATCTAACTCAGGTTTTCTCAGAGGGAGGCCTACAAAATCATCAGTGGTCAAAGAGAGACTAGCGTGTCCTGTGGCTCATGTCTCCGGCTCTGTCCACCGTCCCTGGTTACTTACTGAATGGGACTGTCAGGCCCGCCCGGTGCTGTGTGCCTCTGTGGGAAGGCTGTGAGCATGGAGTAGAGCCAGGTGCCATGTGCTGATGCAGCAAAGGGACTGAGAGAGCTTCAGGAGAATGTCTCTTATCCCCTCTGGCCCTCAGCTGCTTTATCTGTAAGATGCGGCTCACACTATCTTGTTCGTCTGAGGCCAAAGCCCACCAGATGATCCCTTGAGGTCTCTTCCAGCACTTCTTAAGATCTGTGATTTTTTTGGAGCTATTTGGCTCTGCCTCTAAGCAACCATGTGACTCTGGCTAAGTCCCTTTCTCCCCTTGAGATCTCAGTTTCCTCACCTGCAGAACTAGAAGTTTACGTGAGATCCCGAGGTCCTTTCCGTGCCAGCAAAACAGAATAATGACGAATATTCATCTTACCATGTGCCAGGCCACATTTGTGTATGTACATAACCACACTGTGAGGTGGGTACTGATGCTACCCCCATGGTGCGGACAGGGAAACTGAGGCACAGAGAGAGGAAACTGGTTTGGGTCACACAAATAGTAAAACCTGGTGGGAGATGCAGAAGGAGGCTCTTGGGCTGGAGCTCTATGAAAGAGAAAACACTTTGCATGAGGGGTTTCACTGGCAGAGGTGGACTGTTCTCATTATCAACTTTCTCTTATACACAGAGGTCTCAAAGCCTATCCCACTGGAGTCCTCCCCCAAGCAAGTGCTATGGGGGAACCCCAGCCCCAGTGAATGAGGGACAATGAGGAAGCCACTAGAGGATGTCAGCCTGGTGGCCTCAAGTTGTAGAACTGGAAAGAAGGGGTTGAGTCCCGGATTCAGAACTAGGGGACCATAAGTATGGCAGAGCCATCTGGAAGCTGACAGGAGCTTACAAGGTGCTGGGGCTCTCAGGCCTAGGCATAAGGGACTGGGTGGTGCTGGGATCTCCCCACAAGCCACAAAACTCTGTCAGGGAAGGATCCAGAGACTGCTCCAGGTCCTGTGGGGTTGCAGGCATGGGGTATCTTCATTATCCGGAAGGGTGGAGTGGGTTGGGGTAGGGGCAGGGGGAGAGAGGAGCAGAGTGGCTGATGCCCTGCCCGACCATGCGATGTGCTGGGCCAGTGTGTCTGCGTTCTTGGGCATTCATTTAAACGGCCATGGAACCAAGAGGTAGCAGACCCAGCCACGCACATTCTCCACCCTTGAAGCCCCCATGCCACACACGCACCCCCCCTCCCCTGCCACCCCCAGGCCCAGTGTCCAGGCCCATTGCTGAGTCATAGTACAATTTTATTCAGCTACAGAATCATTATGCTGGCATCTGTCCTCCCCCCGGCCACCCGCTGCCAGTTGTCCATGGTCTCTGTGTTAGGCTTGGCCCATGAGGGGCTCTAGGGCCTCAGCAGGGCAGGATCCCAGGGTCAGGCTGGGCCAGGGGGGCGGGGTGGGGTGGGGGGCTGGTGCCACAGTCTGCCAGCCAGGCTCAGTTGCAGGCCCCCACGCCTTTGATGAGGTTGGCAGCCTCGGGGATCTGGCGGAAGAGGTTTCGGAGGGTGTCTAGCTCCTGGGTCAGCTGCTCCACACGACTGCGGAGGCGCTCATTCTCCGCCATGTACTCCAGCACCTTCTGCTGTGTCTCCAGGATGCGCCTCTTGGCCTTGTCCCGGCTCTTGCGCACGGCGATGTTATTTCTCTCCCGCCGCAGCCGGTATTCCAGGCTGTCCTTGTTCACCGCCTTCTTGCCTTTGTGTGAGGGGCCAGCCGGGGATGGTGCCTTGAGGAGGGGGCTGCAGGGGGGTGCGGCGGTGGCCACAGGGGCCTGGAGGGGAAGGCACAAAGGGACCGCAGGTGAGAGCTGGCCAGGCAGCGGAGTGGAGGCCGGGCAGGAATCCCAGCAGCCCGAGCACACTTGGGCATCGAAGAGATATGGGATCCAGAGCCAGCTGTTGGCTCTCAGGGAATGCCCAGCCGTGTGTAGAGGGTCCCCCGCTCTGACCAAAACTCCCCTTCATGTTCCCACATGGTCTGAAAACCACTTTCCTTCAATCTATCTTGAGTCCCTAGTCCTACGATCTGCAGGCATTTCCTCTTCTAGAAGCAGGTGGCAGAGAGACGGGAGGAAGGGGCTTGATGGGCAGCAGAGAAGCTGGTGGGACCTGAGGTCAGGGCAGGTCGGCTGGCCACAGGGCCTGCAGGACACTCCGGGATTCAGCCACGCGCTGGGGTTCAGGAGGAGAGTGCATTCACAGGGAGGCGCAGAGGGTTTGGGGGTGGGTTGGTCTCACAGAGCAACATCACACAGGGACCTGTTAGCATCGGTGGGAGCGCAGGGTCCCCCACCAGCACTGGGCCTCCCTCCAGCCTCCGGGGGGGGCGGGGACGAGATTCGACCTGCTCTTACCTTGAGGACGCGCAGGGGCTGGCTGGGTGCTGCCAGGGCTGGGGGCAGGTGCATGGCCGTCTGCCCACAGTGTGCCACTTGGTACTGCAGAGGATTGTAGCCACCACGGCTGGCCCCTCGGCTGCCCTCTGGCCCCCGGGGCTCCTCCTTCACGGCCACAGCCCTGGGGTCGTAGCTCCCCGGGCTGCTGTAGATGCCAGGCCCCAGCGCCTTCCTGTCAGGGCCGAAGGTATGTGGGGGGTAGGCGAAGGGCCGAGGGTCAGGCGGCAGGTAGTGGGGGAAGGCAGGGGTTCCGGGTCCCTTAAGGCCTCGGGCCTCAGGTGCCGGCTTCACCGCGAAGAGGTCAGAGAGGAGCTGCTCCTCCCCAGACTCAATGTAGGCAGAGAGGTCGATGGAGGCCTCATGCTCACACATGTCCCCCAGCTCCCCAGGCCCCGCTCGGCCCCCTGAGAACTCGAGTGGCTGCTGGCCAGCCCGGGGCTCACACTCATAGTAGGTCCCGTGGGACATGGCCGGCCCGCCCCCTCTGCTCCCCGCCCCTGCCGCCCTGCTCTTGGGGCACCCTCTGGGATGCTCTGTCTGCCCTCTCCCTAACTCCCCCTGCCCTAGATCTGCCCTAGATCTGCCCTAGATCTGCCCTCTCCTCTGTCACCCACTCCTGCGTGGCCTCTCTTCTCCCTCCTCTGCTGTTTGCTTTTCCTTCCTCTGTAGTCAATGTCTCTTTTCTCTTCCCTTTTTTCCCCCTCTCTCTCTCTGGGGTGACTCAGGGAGGGGCAGGGTGCACCCCGGAGGGAGGGATGCGGGGGCTTAGAGAAATGGGGCCCCTGGCCTGTGTAGCCTTTGGGAGAGCTCTTTGGTCGGGGTCCAAGCCAGGGCTCTGAGATGCCTGGGAGCCGATGCTTCTGGGGATGCCTCCCCCCACCCCCTCTTGAGTCCAGGGGATTCCAGAGTCCTCGCTGAGGGCAACACCTCTCTCTGAATGTCCTTCTCCCTCCGACTTCCAAAAAGTTCTGTGCAGAATGAGGTGCCAAGTCAGAATGAACAGAGAAAACCTTCATCCAGTGCCGACCCCCAGCCTGAGTTGAACTCCTCCCTCGGCACGCCTCCCTCTCGGTTCCCCCAAGGCTGAGCCCCACCTACCCCGGGGGGGCAGTCAGTTCCTTCTGTAGCCCCACCCCCAGGGCATTCTTCTGGGTGCAGGCCAGAGGGCGCTTTTGGAGGGGGTTCTAGTGATAGGTTCTGGGACCAAGCCCTACGTGCGGCCCTGTGCTGCAAAGCACGCTTGTTGGCTGCGTTTTTGTGCAGGGTCTGCCACCACCCAAACCCTCTTGTGCTCTAGCCCTGGGTGGCCCTCGAAGCCTGGCGCTGTTGCTGATTGCCAAGGCTTGGCTGAGGCACCTGCTCAGGACTCGGCCCCGCGCCCCAGGCCAGGCAGGCTGCGGCCCTAGGAGCCCACAGCTGCACTCCTCTGGTGGCTCCCGCGCCCTCTCGTCCAACTGCTCTGCGCGGCCAGAGCCTCAGGCTGGCACCTGCCCCTGCGCTGGTCCCGGGGGCTCTGCCTTGTTTCCTGTGCCTCAGGCTGCAGGGCTCCGACGCTCACTGCAGCTCGGTTTGCTGTCTTTCCTTCTGCATGGCCGTTCTCTGACCTCGATGCGTGTCTCTCAGGCCCACTTCCTCTTGTGAGGCTTGAGAAGCCTTCTGTTTTGTCATCGTCTCTTCCTGGGACTGTTTCAGGGTCTCCAGGAGAAGCCTGTGCTCCACGCCTCTGATCTCATGCTCGGCCCCTTCTCAGACCTTCCCTTTTCTTTCTCCTCTGGGAACTCCCCACTGTCTCCTGTTAGAGGCACTGCTCTGGCTCTGTTTTTACTTGTAGACCGTCACCTACAAAGGGGATGATAGGTCCAGAAAAGCAAAGGACACAGAAACGAGTTGCTGGCTCTTTTATCACGAGCAAATGCTGCGAGTAGCCTGTGGAGGCCAGGAGGTTTAATAAGTAGGGTTCACCAAGGCCCAGGCCACAGTGGCGATATGTGTGGCATTGGTCTGCAGATGTAAACCGCCCTCACGTTGGGCCAGTTACCCCCCTAGTTAGCTTCTCCCTCCCTCCTCACCACCCCAGCTACCCCAGGAGCCTTCTGTGCACAACTGGAGATGCTCTCTCCCAAAGCCCTGACCTGACATGGGGAGACCTGTGTGCATCCTGGAGACACATCTCAGGGGCCTGATGAGGAGGTTTCTGTCTCATCTCCGTTTCAAAGGACCTTGCGTCAAACGGGTACCAGAGCTGAACGACTTGGGTTCGGCAGGAGTGCCTCCGTTGACCTCCAGGCGGCAGTATGGGTCCAGAATTCGGGACTTGAGGGGCTGCTGCGGTCTGGCATCAGGTGGGCGGCAGGGGGCAGCCTTCCACAGCCCCGGCGAGGGCAGGCCCCTGCTGGGCCCCCAGGAGGAGGAAGGGGAATCCTGGCGGGGTGGGGGCTTGCAGCGCAGTTACTCGGGGTGTGGGCAAGCTGAGAAGACAGGCCAGGGCCCTGTCTCAACGCAGAGAAATCCTAGCCCTCTCCGATTCTGAAGGAATGATGATGGTTAAGGCCTGGGCTGTGCTTTTTTGGTCATTGAAGCATTCACTTTTCCATGCTGACCGTTTCTCTGTGAGTTATAACAGTAGGAAGACCGAGGGCATTTTATCTTCGCCTTATAAAAGAGGGGAAACAAGGTCGAGAGGCTGAACCCCAGGCCCAAGGTCATACAAGGACGCAGCATTGATCTGGGGTGGGGGGGACGACAGGGCAGTGGGCTAATGGAACCCCCAGGCAAGAAGGGACAGGGAAAGGGGGAGCTGTGTGTGACTCACAGAGCCCTGTTTGCCCTCAGTCAGCTGCCTGGGGTGCGGGTGGTGGGGAGACTGCGTCAGTAGCCCGCAGACTGGGTACTGGGCGCTGGGCACTGGAGGAAGCAGGGAAGTGTGCAAATAGAGCCGCAGGAAATGAGAAAGGCTGGGGAGATAAAGGATCTCGGGGCCCTCACCTCCCAGGCTGGTGGCTGACTGACGTTGCTGGAGTCCTGACATCATGTTTCCCAGTAACCGAGGGGTTTGGAGGGGGCGGGAGGCATTCCGGATGTCTGGGCCGGGGAGGTGGGGGACTGGACAGGAACAGGGTTGGGAGGGCAGTGCCAGACAAGAGCTGGGGGTTGGGGGGGTTCTTGGGTTCTGTGGAGTTGCTCAGGAGTGGAAAGCAGCCCTTCCTGGTCAGCGGGGTCATGTTCTCCTTGCTGCTTTGGTTGCTGTTTTCCTTAATGGAAGCAATGCATGTGTATTACCTAGTGACTCTAACTCAGTTTAAAGGTCACCAGGTCCTTCCAGCAAGGAGGCAGCCAAGCGTGGTGGTGGTGGTGGTGGTGTGTCACAGAGACCTGGGCTTAAATCCTGCTTCTGTCACTTCTCAGTTTGCTGACCTCGGGCAAGTTACTTATCTTACTTGTAAAATGGCAGTAGTAATATCTACTTTGTTGGATTGTTTAATTAACTTTTACGGGGGAATGCCTGGGTGACTCAGTGGTTGAGGGTCTGCCTTCAGCTCAGGTCATGATGGAGGGGTCCTGGGATGGAGTCCCGCATCAAGCCTGCTTCTCCCTCTGCCTGTGTCTCTTCCTCCCTCTGTGTGTCTCTCATGAATAAATAAATAAAATCTTTTAAAGAACCAAAAACTTTTATTTAAGATTGTATTTATGTGTGTGTGTGTGTGTGTGAGAGAGAGAGAGAGAGAGAGAGAGAGCACAAGCAGAGTTAGGGGCAGAGGGAGAAGCAGACACCCTGGGGAGCAGGGAGACCCCTATGGAGGCTCTGGGATCATGACCCAGGCCAAGGCAGATGCTCAACCAGCCAAGCCATTCAGGCTCCCCTTTAATTAAACTTTGAATGAGAAAATGCATAGAGAGCACTGGTCTCAGTCTTTTTCTGCCCTTCCTCTGACCACCCCCTGTGGTTTATCTGGGTGTTTTAAACAGACACACTATCTGTAGCCTCACCTGATGCCTCAATTTGACAGGCATTTTTGGGCACATAGGTACCAGGCCCTGGGCAGGCACTCGGGACCTGGAAGATTCAGCTCCTGCCTGCAACAGCCCCCGCGGAGCGGGCAGTCAGCAGGGCCCCAAAGTTCACACGTATGTGCCAGGCACATCCTGCCTTCTTTTCCTTGTGGGCTCCTCGAGGGTAAGGTCAGATGCATTTTTTGGACCCCTTCAGCTGTAGTGACCATATTGCCTGAATTAAAATTAAGGGAAGGGGGATCCCTGGGTGGCGCAGCGGTTTGGCGCCTGCCTTTGGCCCAGGGCGCGATCCTGGAGACCCGGGATTGAATCCCACCCACATCAGGCTCCCGGTGCATGGAGCCTGCTTCTCCCTCTGCCTGTGTCTCTGCCTCTCTCTCTCTCACTGTGTGCCTATCATAAATAAAAAAAAATTAAAAAAATTAAAAAAAAATTAAGGGAAGGTGGATTGCCAAGTATGGGTATTTTTATGGAGACCATGGAACAAAGTATTTGACGTCTGTGCTGACTTGGAAAACTCAGGGATAATTTGCTATTCTCACGGCACACAGCAAACTCCTTGGACACAACGGTCATCAGGTGTGTTGTGTGACTAACAAATGAATGCTTAGGGAACCACAATTTCAGTGACCTCCAAATTTCCTAAGGTCTGAGCATCTGAATTCCTACCATTAAAGTGGCTGACAGGGTTAAGACAGGGTAAAGAAAAAAAAAAAAGAAAAGAAAAAAAAAAGACAGGGTAAAGGCCCAGGTTAAAAACAAATGCACATTGTCCTGGGAGAGACCCACATTTGCCCATTGACCAGGTTAAAAAGATCAGCACGTGTCACTTTATGGGGGAGTGGGGAGCTGCTGCTGGTGGTGGCGGATAGGAGGAACAAGTGTCTCCACAGTGTGAGAAGGCACTGGAGAGGGCAATGGGGCAACATGGAGAATATGCTGGCAGCCCATGGAAAGGAAAAGGGGAAGAGGGGGTTCAAAAGGGTGGATTTGAGACCTGGAGAACAGCCTCTTGCATAAGACTGACCTCTGCTTGGTTTTGATTAGGTTCAATCCTTTCCCCGCCCCTTTTCTTTTTTAAAAAAGTGCTAAATAGGTTAAGTGACTTGCCCAAGGACACACAACTGTTTAGTGGCTGCTGACCTGGAAATTAGAGCCAAGCCTCTGTGCCCCTGTGACTGGCACGCCTCCGGCGTCTAGAAGAATGCCAGCCACAGATGAGGAGAGTTGGGGCTGGCCCGGGACTGGGAGTGGAGGCATCTTGTCTGCCTGTGTCCTCACGTATCCCAGATGGTGGAGGATGATGTCATACCCCCCCCCCCCCCGCCCATGTCTGTCAGAAGTGCTGTCTCTGGAGTACTGCCACCCCAGGTCAGGCAACAGGGAGAGCTGCCCACAAAGGAGGCACTCCAAGCAAGGACTGGGTCTAATCCTATCAACTTCCTCCAGCAATTAACCCTAAATCACCAGCAGATGTGTCCCTACTGTACCTGTTCCTTTGTCCTCACTCAACAGCCTTCCTAGTCCTTGACTAGACACGTTTCTCTCATTAGATTCCATGCAGCTGAGGGGACTCCACCTCACCCCCTAATCCCTCCTGTCAAACCCCTTGGGTCTGGCTTTCCTAAGTCCCCCTGGCATCTCTCCACAGGCTCAGCCCGTCCCTTCCTTTCCTACTTGGTGCCAGCTGCCCCAGGGCCAGAAGTCTTTGCCGAGCAGTTTTGGAGCCACTCTGCCTCTGCCTCCCCCCACTCAGCTCGGTGCTGTCCTCCACCTTCCCACCTGTGCAGTAACGCGGTTCTTCTCCCTAGCTAGTTTCCAGGCTCTCAATGCAGTGCACAGAGCAGGAACTTACTTAACACTTTGTGACTTCACTGAAGAAATGAGAGGTAGTTAAAAAACAAAAACCAACTCCTCCCCCCAAAACCTGAGAGATAGATGTTTGGATGTGCTGGCACCGGGTTCCTGGGACAGAGCAAGGGCTTTTGGGAATGTCATCCTGGAAGGAACCTGGCAACCAGAGACCTCCTGAAGAAGATAGGAAATGCCTGGGGACTCTGTCTCAGAAGACCATTGAATTGTCACCACCATCACCTTCATTTCCATTTAAAATTTTATTACATCAAAAGAAAAAAAAAAAAAACCCTCCACAAAACAAACTCTAACTCTAAACCAACTCAACAACGGAAGATTATTCTCCAGGTATAACTAATGCCTTCCCCATCCCAAACAACCTTACATTAAAAAATCCAAAAGAAATAAAAATGCCAGCTTCAAAAATATTTATCCAAAAAGTAAGGCATTCACTTTACGAAACAAACAGACAAATAAATCCCAACAATTGAAGGAGGGATGGAGGTTGGAGGAATGAGAAGAGGGAACAAGAGGATGGTCCCCTGACCCACCAGGGGCCAGCCCCAGCCCACCTGGGGTCCACTCAGAAGGGACCAGAACTCAAACTAAACCTGACATCTCACCAACCTTGGGGGGGTAGGGGTGTCAGGCAGGTGAGGAGGGAAGCTGGGAGAGCCAAGCAAGCCAGGAGGATTCCCCACATATTCTAGTCTAAGCAGATAGTACATGGAGGTAGGGAAGGGGGGACTCCTGCTTAGCACAGCAGGTATGGCAGGGAGGCTGCAAGGCCCAGGGTAAACACAGTGGCCTTCCTCTGGAGGGCAGGGAAAGGCACCCTCTGCCCACAGGACGGCCAGAAGTCCATATACCAAAGAGAACGTGTCTCCAAGATGGGTACCTTCAGCCACTGCCCTTTCATCCTGCGTGGGAGGCTGTCTGAAGACAGGGGGCAGCGGTGGGACCAGAAAGGGGGGTGTTGGGGTTGGGGGAGGAAGAAGGAACTGGCCTTCAGAAGACACTCCCTTCCCAGTCTCCGAGGTTAGGGGATGGGCACTTCTGGGAGGTGGGGGAGAAAGCACCCTCCATTCCAGGAAGGTTTTTCATACCAAGTCTGTCCTGAGGGCTAGAAATCAGGGAGTATTTTTAGGTCCAGTTCTTGGATGGGAGGCGATTTAAGGCTGATTTGGCTTGGCTTTCGGGGCCTGAAGGGCTGAGGGAGCCCTCACACCGGTTGGTCCCACAGCCAAGCCGGAGAGGGGGGTGAGGGCATGATGGGGGTGCTGGCAGTGCTGGCTCCATGGGGGTGTGTTGGGGGTGTAGCTGCAGGGGTAATGGAGTGACCACTCCTCGGTGGAGCAGGGAGGGAGGAGGAGCTGAGCAGCTTTGCCATTAGGAGAGAAATGTCCACTACATTGAAAATAAGAAGACTTTCTGGCTTCAAGAAGCTTTGGCACCGAGTGGGGGTCAGGATGCAGGAGAGAGGGGCAGGGCTGGGTTTCTGCAATCTGAGCCTTTCCCAATCTGTTCCACAGGCCTGGCTTGGGGCTAGGAGGAGGGGGCAGTTCTCCTGCTCATTGGTCCATAGCTCAGTAGGGAGGTGGTGTCCTGACAGGATCTTTGCTCTGGACAGGGAGCCCAAGCTGGGGTGGGGGTATGTTACCATGAGGACGGTGAGGGGAGGGTGAGAGGGAAGTATCGCTCTGATTTCTTGGGTCCCTAGTGAAGGGAGGGTGATATAGCTCTCTCCAGCTGACCTTTAATGACGACAGATTTGCTTGAGTCTGTCCCTCCCCAACTGATTCACTGTTGTTCCGTTCCAGTTCTCTGAGCAGAGGCCTCTGTTGGGCTCAGGAATGGGGTGGGGGGAAGGCAGTATTGAACTGGGCTCCCAAGGATGCAAGTGGAGGAGTGCGGAAGGCCCTGTAGGGTACCCCCAGCAGCTCCACACTTCTCCCACTGCTTAGAGCAGCCCTAGTGAGGGTGTTGGATACAGGCCCTGGTGCTGAGAGGCTGGTTCTTTGGGTACAAATGTCAATGTCTTTGTTTATAGTTTCTTATCACACACACCCAGGTCCTGCCCCTGCTTGACAGAAGCAGAGGCGTGTGTGTGTGTGTGTGTGTGTGTGTGTGTGTGTGTGTGTTGGGGGGACCCAGGCAGGAAAGGAGGGCAAGAGGGAGTGTAGGAGGGAGGAGCCAGCTGAGAGGGGATGGCAGTCCTCAGGGCTGGGGCTGCTCCTTGTCCTTGGAGGCAGTGGGTTGGTAGATGGGCTGCCGCTGCTCCTCTGTGTCCTCATTCGTTTCCTCTGTCCTCGAGCCCGCATCCATCTCGGGGTACACAGCCACACACATCTTCTGGCTCACCAGGGTTAGTGACTCTATGGGAGGTTATCCAACAGGTCAGTGCTGAGCATCCCACCGACCCGGCCAAGCAGACCAAGGCCCCACTCTGCTCCCCTATGCCAGGTGTTGCCTCAGTAGGGCTCCCAGTGTCCTCAGGAGACTCCTATTCCAGGAGACAGCCACCTTGTCTCCTCCTGGGTCTCCGGGCAGCCAGCAGACTGCCCTAGTCTCCCACCTTCCCTAAGCCTGGGCACCACCAGTTCGAGGCTCCCCACTGGCCTCTACTCAGAACAGCTCCTGCAGAATGGCTGTCAGGTTGCCTATGCCTCCAGGACTAGGGTCTGTGTGCAAACATCAGCAGTTCTCCTCTCCTCAGAAGTCTCTGGGAAGGCACCCACCCTTTCCTGCTTCATCTTCTTCTTCTCCAGAGCTCTGTGCACTAGCCTAAGCCTCCTAGACCAAGAGACCTAACCCAAATGAGGAGATCTTCTAGCTACCCGGCACCTTTAACAACTCACCAATGAAGTTATTGAAACACTTGGGCTTGTGTTGCCAGTAAACACCCAGGAAATAGACAGGCACTCCCGTCAGCATGATGGCCAGGCCAGTGCCACACACCACGGGCTCCGACCACAGGCTAAAGATCAGCAGGAAGGCCCAGAACAGCAAGTAGATGATGGGGAACAGCAGGTTGATCTGTGGAGCAGACATGCTATTAGCTATGTGGACTCTGTGGCTCGCCAGGATCAGGGCATCCTCCTTCTTTTCAACCCACAGGGAAGTACCTTTGAGGGCAAAGGCTGGGCTTCACTCAGCTCTGTGGCTTCCACACCCTAAGCCCTGATAAATCAAGTGCTATGTCAATAAATATTGGTAAACTTAGGTACTGGGACAGTAGAGGAGGGGCAAACTAGGGAGGGAATGATCCTCACTGCCCATCTCTTTACTCCTGGGTAGGCTCAAACAAGGCCTTATCATCTATGCCTCAGTCAGGGAAGCCCATGGGAACCGATAAGCTTGCTGGTATCCTGATATATATATATATATATATATATATATATATATATATATATATATATATAAATATGCTGAGGACCTAAAGTGGAGGAAAGGTGGAGAAATGAGTGAGGGGCAAGAAGGAAGTGGCCTGGGTCTATCAGGCTCCTTCCCCTTCCCTGGTTCTAGGTAGGGCTCTCATGTGGGCACCACATGGCAAATGTCCATTTTTCTTGCCAGGACCAGTCTCAATGTTTTTCTCTCAAGCAATCTGAGATGATGAGTCTGCCAAGCTCTGAGAAGTCAGGAAACCTACCACAGTATAAGGTAGTCTGGGGCCTTGATTTTATTCAGAAAGAAGCATTAGCTCTATGGGCTTGTTGGCCACAGGTGGGAGTTACCAGTAGAGTCTTCTTCAAGACTCTAGATTCAGCTGCCTTTCTCTTCCTTGTCATCTCCTCTCAGAGGATATGCAAGGGTTGGGAGAGGGATGGGTTATCCTACCTTGTCATCCCTCTAGCAGGCTTTCTAAGAGTGGTAGGAAGGTGGTGGTGGAAAACAGATTTGGAGAGCTGGAATTCCTTAGCTAGAAGAATCTTCTGGAAGAATCTAGTCTCCTCTATTTCCAGAATAGGATGGTTCAAATAGCTCAGGGCTGTACTCTAATTTGCAGGAGATCCTATAGCGCTCTTGCATATTTTGTTCTGAGCAATCCCGTTCATCCCCATCACATAGTTATTTCTTGCAGCCATTAGTAGGCTCACCAGGCACCCTACTACATATAGGGCGATAGCAGTTTAAAAAGGGAGGCTCGTGGGGGGCTGCAGTGGGCTGGGAAGCTTCAAGGAAGAGGAGGAACATGAGGCCTATGTGGTCAAAGGTTCTAATTTGGATATAGGCAAATGGGAGAAGGAAACTCCTTCTGGGATGGAGACATAGCTCAAGTGAACTCAGACACCTGGAGGGATGAGAAGAAGACTGGCTGTACCAGGGGGTTCAGGGAAATATTGGAAAGATAGGAAGCCTTGAAAAATCAACTGGAGTTCATAAGAGTCGTAGAAAACAAAGGAACCACCTGATGAAAGTATCATTTAATCTAACTTATTCTTCCAGCTACAGTTTGCTCTGGTTCTGTCTCCAGTGGAAAATGGAAATGGGGACGCCTGGGTGGCTCAGCGGTTGAGCGCCTGCCTTCAACTCAGGGCGTGATCCCACGGTCCCGGGGTCGAGTCCCACATCGGGCTCCCTGCATGGAGCCTGCTTCTCCCTCTGCCTGTGTCTCTGCCTCTCTCTGTGTCTCTCATGAGTAAATGAATAAAATCTTAAAAAAAGAAAAGAAAAGAAAATGGAAATGCCGTCCCCATTCATACATGGCCCTTGCTGTCCAAAGGGTCTGCTCCCATCATAGGGATGGTAGATCATATCTGTGGTCAGCAGCTGAGAACAAGCTGATTAAAAATCTCAGCTGCCGCTAGGACCAGTAGAGAAAGAGGAAGGGATCTCAAGGGGAGGTTCTCGCACCTTGATAGGTCGGGGGATATCAGGCTTCTTCCAGCGAAGAACTATCTGTCCAGCAATTGTGACTCCATAGAAGAGGTAGTTGATGAAGCCCACATAGTTGATGAGTGTGTACATGTCGCTGGTGACCAGCATCAGCAGGGTTGAGATGCACTGTGGGGAACGGGAGAAGCTCATCAGTGATCAGTAAGGTATTTGGATGCGGGTGGAGCTGTTTACAGGTCAGGGGACTGCCTCTAGGCAGATGATGCTATTTTATGATGACTGTCTCAAAATAGACACTTTGCAGCCTCCCATAGTCACCCTGGCCATTGCTAACACCTTTAGTGCCAGGAAGTTCTTTCTCACTGTAGGAGTGATAATCAAAATATTTAACCAGTGGCATGGCACAGGCACTAACCAAATCAGAATAGATACTGGCTGTAAACAACTGGATTGGCCACACCAGCAGCACTAGCTCAGGGAAATATTTCTTCGCTGGTTGTAGCTCAAGTTAATTTAGGTGGGTCCCCCCCACCATCTCCGCACCTTAGGGAAGATTGTTAACTACAGATTAAAGCTTTATTCTTGCCCTCATCCTCTTCTGGCTGAGTCATCTTTTTATCTCTTTTTATTTCTTTTTATCATAAATTATAGTTATAAAGCATTTACTAGGTGGCAAGCCCTGTTCTTAGTGTTCTACAAATATTAACTCATTAAACTCTCATAACATTCTTGATAGGCTCCAGTATCCAACTTCAAAATCAGTTCCGTGGCTCCCTAGGAACCATGTTTGGCCCCTCTGCTCATCTGTTAAGGCCAACAAAAGATTCAGTTCTCATATAAGATCTGATGGTGAAAATAATCTAGAAGATTTTAATGGTTGAATAAGCCAGATACTGACTGGACTTGCCTTGCAGTCACAGTACTGTACCAAAGGTTAAAACTGGAAATAAGTCTGTGTCTCCCTGGGAGTACTAGGTGGTCTCCAGGCACCCTTCACAGCTAACCAATCACCAAGGCCTTCGTCCTGTATCTGAACATTCTGAAGCTCCCTCTAATGTACAATGAATGCACTTGATTCCTGAGAGTTCTATTGTCCTGATCTAACGGCTTCTCTGATGGACCAAAGTCATTTTCAATATTTTATTCAGGATCCAGAAAGAAAAAAAAATTAAAAGACTCAGTGGGGACAAGTCTTCACTTTTTCTTTTTACCCCCTAAATGATTCTACTCTGGGCCATTCTATCCTTATTTCTTCCCTATTCCTTTTCTCCATTTTTAGTTGCTGGTCTTCCTTTCTTATGATTTTTCTTATGTACCTGTAACGATGCATTTGTTTCAGTGATGTTGCCAGAGAGACAGACAGGCAGAGACTCCTGGGGTATGAAGACTGATGGGAGGGGTGGGGGTATATGAGACTGGCCAGGAGTGGGGGCCCGAAGCTGTGACCCTGTGGGTAACAGGTGCAGGGGAGAGCCAAGAGAGGAGGTTTCTTTCTGAGACCATAGCGTTGTGAGACAGTCACCTCAGTCTGACCCAAAAGAATGGGAGAATGGAAATGAGCCAGGGTGAGAGCCTAAAGGTGTTTCAGGACTCAGGGTCTTTCCTTGTTATTTTTCTTGATATTCACACAGCCTATGTGTACCATCTGCCTGATTATCTAAGATTCAGTGAAACCTAGGAGTGGACCAGGAGGGTGACAGGGGTGTGCGTGGGAAATGTGAACTCCTAGCTCACAGCAAGTGCAAAGAGGGAGGGTGTGGGTAGGCCTGGCGGAAGGAGAGGCCCTTACTGTGAAGAGCAGGGCTGGGATTGGGGTGCAGCGCTTCACATGGATCATGGCCAACACGCTGGGAAGGTGGCCCTCTCTGGCTCCAGCAAAGAACAGCCTGGTAGAGAGAAAAGCAGGTCAGCCTGGGATGGCCCACAGACCACCCAAGGAAGCTCCCTCCCCAGCCCAGTCTCCCTTATCCATACCCATCTTCTGTTCACATAGGAGCATCTCCTCCACCCCAACCAGGTACCCACCTTCTCATGCACACTCGAGCCCACTTGTCACGGGACCCATGTTTATAAGTGCAGGTGCAGGCAAGCCAGAGGCAGCCAGTGAATAATGGATGGACTCTGGGGGCATGGAGACCCTAAGTATGGTCTGGGTCTCCTGGGGTTACTGATAATTGTGCCTTCAGTTTATAGGTCTCACTAGACCTTAGTCCCTTTAAAAATGGGCTTCCCCCATCCTCATGGGATATAGGTTCTTTGGTAGATGGGGACTGAACTGTCTGTCCATAGAAAGCCTTAAAAACATTGATACTCTAGTCAGGAGGTAGTTGCCACTGCGGGGATGGAGAATGGAACCTGATGTGGGACTCGATTCTAGGACTCTGGGATCCTGACCTGAGCCAAAGGCAGATGTTTAACCAACTGGTCCATGCAGGTACCCTAAATATTTACATTCTTTTTTTTTAAGATTTTATTTATTTATTCATGAAAGACACAGAAAGAGAGCGCACGCAAGACGCAGAGACAGAGGCAGAGGGAGAAGCAGGCTCCATGCAGGGAGCCTGGCATGGAACTCGATCCCAGGTCTCCAGGATTAGGGCCTGGGCTGAAGGCGGCACTAAACCACTGAGCCACCAGGGCTGCCCCCAAAATTCATACTCTTAAGCTACTTTTTCCTCCCAAATAAGTCATCTAAAGGAAATAAATAGTTAGTGAAAGTTATATATAAAAGATATTTTGATGATAAAATAAGATTGGAAATATCATAAATGCCCCAAAGTAAGAGATTGATTACATAAGTTATGATATATCTATAAAATGGGATATTTCACAGTCACAATAATGTTTTGAAAAAAAATCATTACATGAGGACATGCTCACAATACAATGTCAAATGGTAAGAGCAAGGTTGAGAACTGTATGATTCCATACAGTATGATTCTAATTAATTTAGAAATTATGGTCATATAAAAAGATACCAACTGATTATCTCTGGGTGATGGGATTATGAGTAATTTTAATTTTCTTCCTTAGGCTTTATTAAAAAATTTAATTTCTAAAGTAGATATGAAATTTTTAGTTGGAATAAAAATGATTTTTTTTACCCTTTTTAAAAATTAAACTTTTTTTTTGTGTGTGATAATTATAGACTCACATGCAGTTGGAAGAAATAATACAGAGAGATCCTAGGTATCCACCTTGTTTCTACTGGTAACATACTGCCAAACTATAGTACAATATCATGACAGGATGTTGATGTTTAAAAGTTATTTTTAAAAAGATAAATTTTAACATAAAAGGGAGCCCTTCTTCCCCTTCCCCAGAGAAAAGAATATTATAAGCCATTGAGAGTCATTTACATATTAGTATGAATTAGACAGCTTTTTCTTTTCTCTAGGATTTTGTAGGGAGAAAGAAATACCTAAGGGGTAGGAGGAGGGAGATGGTGTAATGGGGACAGAAAGGCACAGAATCAGCACACTGTGTGTTCTGAAGAAAAAAAAAAAACCCTGTCACTTCCTTTGTAATTTGTGTGTGAGCAGGAGTGGAACTAACAACAGCAGTTTGGCAGAAGTGTGGGAGTCCATTATGGCCCCAAGTGCATCACCTTCAATTGCCATCAACTACCTAGGCCACTGTTACTAGTTTCATGCAGCCACACAGCATTGTCCCTCTATGGTGCAGCCTCATGCACTCAACGGAGCCCCAGGTGCTCTGCGGGCCTCATCATGCACATAGCCAGGGCCCCGCATTCACATCCTTCCGCCACATGCAGCCAGGACCAAGTGTGATTGTCCAGATCCGACAGGATTTGTAAGTGTCAAGTTCACAAGAGACATGTCCTGCTAGCTGACAACAGAGGAGACGATGACATTAAGCATGACACACGCGCACACACACCCCTATTTCTCAGGAAGGGTCATCCTCTCCATATACCAAATACAAAAGAGTAAGAGAGAGGAAAAAAGGAGGGAAGGAAGAGGAAGGAAGGAAGGAACTGGAAAGATAAGCAGAGGAGGCCTCGTGGGTGAGCTGGGCTTCTAAATCAGAGGCCTCGTACACCAGGGCTGCCATGTCCTGCATGCACATACAGCTATACCGCATGCATGCAGACCGCTGCTTGGCCTGCCCGAGGGACAAACCCCACTCTAAAGTGACTGTAGCCAGTCACTCTCTTCCAATAGATCCCAGAGAGCCTCATGGGTCACTGCTCTTCCACTGCTCGCCCTCTGCTGGGGACTCCAGGTGGCCACTGCTCCTGTGTAACATGCACATGAGGTTGCTGTGGGTGAGTTTCATTGGGTCCTGGGGTACAGGGGACACCCACGCGCCCTCTTTCCTGCCCTGGGTCTTGAAAACATGGCACTCCCTTGACATTTTATGAGAGCTCCTCCCTGATGTAATGGGTGGCTTTGGAAGCAGCTGAACTCACAGACTCATTGCTTTTGCTGTATTTTTCAAGTGGTACCGTGTTTTAGGGGCAAGGGAACTTTCCCAGAAATGTGATGGGACCCTTGAACACCACCAATGGAAACCATCCAGCGTCTACTGGCCTCAATAGCTCATTCTAGAGATGGAGAGAAGAAATTCTGAGTAGGGGCCAGATTCCTTGGGGTATAGAGTCAGGAGCTAGGGATTCCTAGACCCACTTGAGCTTCTGGCTTCCCTGAGTTTGGGAGTTGAGAGCCTGGCTTTAGACAAATGCTCTCCTTCAGCTCTTCCCCACTTCCCTCACTTTACACCCTCTGCCTGAGTCTCCTGAGTGGCCATGGAAAGGCCGCCCACAGCCACCTGTCTAGAGCAGGGAGAATGATCCATCCCACCTCCAGGCTGGTCCCAGAACTTCCATGAGAGGTCAGCCCAGAGGTCCAGGCTATGTCCCTCCTGGTCCCTTGTAGAGTGGGGTTGCTTTCAAGCCAGTGTAGCCTGTTTGTAGGCAAGTAGCAAAGGGGCTCTGGGGGCTACTGCTGAGATGCTGTCCTGCTGCCAATCAGAGTGCCTAGACCGAGGGCTGCATCAGGCAGCCTGGGACCTCCTCAGCCCTCTGCTCCTACTGAAATGAGGTGGGACAGGGCTTCTCGCCACTACATGTGAAGCCACACACATCGCAGGTAACCACGTGAGCAGCACACACCCCTCTGCGTCCAAGCTGATACACAAATGCCCTTTTGTGAGCAATCACCCCCTAAAAGGGCACCACCCAGGTGCCCACACAGACCCCTGCTGACGGAGACAAGCCCCTTACATATACACAGAGCGATATGCACAGCAGAATGGCCCGTCCCAGGAAGGACTGGGATAACACTCACCGGGAAGAGGTGAAGAGAGACCCATTGACTCCTCCAAATGTGGACAGGGCAACAGATATAGGCATGATCCAGGCCATGACCCCTAAGAGCTTCTCTCCAAATGTCTAGGAGAGAAAACAAGGGGATGAGCAGAAAAAGTGAGGTTACAACCCTCTACTTGTACATCACTGCTGGGAAGGCTCCCTCCCATCTCTACCCTTGCTGAGTCTTTCCTACTAGGGTCCTCATGGAGGGCTGCATGCCCCAGCTCCTCCTGTACCATACCACCACTTCCCTTTCCACGGTAATCACACACAATGGGGATTTAATAAGTGTTTGGGGCTATTAACTGAAGAAGACAGTGCATGGTGGTAATAATAATAAGAACAACAGTAATGATGATGATGTGCTAACATTTGTTCTCCTTGTTTTACAGATGAGGAAACTAAGGCACAAAGTAATTAGGTAGCTTGCCTAAAATCACAAACTCAGGGAGTAGAGGGCCAGGATCAGAAGCCAACTGTGTGAATCCAGGCCTCACGTACATTGTACACCAATTAGGCAGGTTGGGGTTCAAATCTTAGTCCAGCAGTTTGGGGCTGTGAGACCTAGAGCAAGGTCCTTAATTTTAGAGAGTCGGTTTTACCATCTGTAAAATAGAAATGGTTTCTAATTCATAGGGTGAGAATTTCTAAATGAAATAATAAGAAGGGAAACATGATAAGAACAAGCTACTATGTAGGCTGAGAAAGAGGCAGTAAAGCTATAGATTAGTCTGCCTATACTGAAGGAATGTAAAATGTCAAGGGCCTAGCCTTTTCTATATTCTCTGAGCCAAGGACAAACTCGATTTCTAGCACATTATGGGGGACAGGTTGTTTAGAATATTCTGCTGGGTTAGGTTGGTGGTCATGGAAATAGGCTGCCACAGGACCCTGGAGGGTCTCCTTATTTACAGTCTTTTGAGATGAAACATGTGATGACAGTTTGGCAAGGTGGTGTCGGGGCCCAGGTGAAGTCAGGTGAGGGGACTGCATGGTTCCCAGGTTTTCCCTGGGTATCAAAGACACCACTACCTCAGATCTGCATGATCTCTTTCCCCAAAGAGCACAGATCATTTCTACTTCCTAACTGTTTACTGCCACACACTTTTCCATGATGAAATAAGGGGTCAGGCTGCATGATTTCCAGAGGAAGAAACGAAGGCAGAGAAAAATGATGTTGTCTTGTGCAAGATTATATCTTTCTGAGGAGGAGCCTGCCTCCTTTATACAACCATCACATTTAGAGTTTAAAGTGCCCCAGATCAGGAGCTGGCAAACTTTTTCTGTAAAGGGCCATATAGTAAGTAATTTAGCTTTGCTGGCCATATAGCCTGTAGCAACTAGTTGGATCTGCTTTGTCACTGTTCTGTATTCAATATGGCTGTCCGTGTGTGCCCGGGCCCTGGACTTGTGGTTTCTGCTCTGAGAACTTGGGATGACTTCCAATTCCACAAATTCATGGATCAGGGAAAAGTGAGTGGGGCCAATCAGGCAAGTCTATGTCAACATTCCTGGTTTCAGGGACTGTGAGTTTGATTTCTTACCACGGCGACTGCGTTTGATGCCAGCAGCTCCTGGGGGGACATTGCAGTGACATAAGCGACATTGGCAAAGACATACACAAATGTGACCAGTGGGATGGAGATGAAGATGGCTCTGGGAAGGTTCCTGTAGAAGGAGAGGAGGTGAGAGGGGAAAGGCCTGGCACCTGCCTCATCTCGGGGCTTTGGAAGTGCCTTGTCTTTCTGCTTGAAACTGACCTTGCAGCCTTTTGTGACACTCCCTATCTGATTTTAGTATATGTGCTGCCGAAGCAAGCACAACACTCCCTCTCACTGGGTGGGGGGTGGGTGGGTGGGGATTTTGTCTTAAAATGGGCAGGACAATTTAAAGGAAATGAAACAGTATAGGCTGCATATCTGTTGATCTCTTCCTGCCATCTCCAGGATGCACCCCTTTCCCCCAACTTTAAGACACAAAGACCCTCCTGTCCCAAGACAGATAAGTAAGATGTCTAGAGGCCTCTAGCACATTTCATCCTCTAAGGCAATGGTGCTATCTCACCACTCTTTCAGCTTTTAATCTGCTCTGGGACAGTCACAGGATCACTTTTCTCCTTTTGGCAGGGTGGATGGCAAATGGTTTAAGTTCCCAGGAAATAACTGTTTCTTCAGGATAGACCAGGTCATGGTCAGAACAGGGGCTGGAGGTGGAGAAGTGGCTAGTAGACACCTGGCTCTCTCTTCCTAGTAGCAGGTTCTGTGGCCTTTCAAGGGATTTGGGAAGAGCTGGGCTATTTCAACTCACTTGTAGGGATCAACAAGTTCCTCAGTCACGTAATTAAGAAAGTTCCAGCCTCCGTAGGCAAAGGAGCCCTGAAGGAAAGCCAGTGCGATGAGGCCGATGTCGGGTTCTTGGAAATTCTCAAATGCATTCTTTGGCTCCAGCCAGAAATACTCTCCTGTGGATGCAAGGGGCAGGAGGCTGCTCAGAGAAAGGAGCCAGAGGCCTGGTGGCCTCTAGCCTGACTAGTCCCATCTCAGTTCTTCCCTGCAGTGATGATCCAGCTCTTTATCTTGTTTCCAGCGAACCCCACACATTGGAGAAGTATGACCAAAAGGAGCAGGGAAACAGAGGTTAGGACTTCCCCAGAATGTGGGAACCAGAAGTCCAAATTCAGGCTCAGATTCAAAGCACAGTTCTCAATGTTCTTTTAAAACGGCAGATTTAGAAACACCTGGATGGCTCAGTCTGTTAAGCATCTGCCTCTGGCTCAGGTCATGATCCCAGGGTCCTGGGATTGAGCCCCATTTGGGGCTCCTTGCTCAGGGGGGAGCCTGTTTTCCCTCTCGCTCTGCCCCCAATTCCTGCTTGCTAAGTGCTCTCTCTCTCTCAAATAAACAAATAAAATCTTAAAACAATAATAATAAAGGGCAAATTTACTTGGAAGGAAAGGCCAGGGGAGGTCACTGGGCAGTGCAGGGGGTGGAGGGTGGGGGTAGGGGGTGGTATTTGGACATGCAGAATCAGGGCCATTGTCAGTCTCTTGACCACCTTCCTGTATATCCAAGTCTATACATTTTCACAAAGAAAGCATGAAGAACAACAAATACTCAAACATAAGTTCCTATAATGCCATGTTAGTTTATGGCTTACTCTGCTTTGTCAAGAACCTCCTGTCTCTTTCTAGGGTATCTGGTCTCTCCCTTCATGGTATAGATTCCCTGAGGACAGGGTCCTTCTGCAAAGAGCTTTTCCACTGTCTTCCTAACATTAGCACAGGGTCCTGCGCACAACTGGGCCCTCAAGAAAGGTCACTGACGATGTTGTAATGAAACACAGAGCAACTGCCCATTTTTTACTTATTTATCTGCAATATAACCTTTGGACAGGAAATAAGGAGATTAGAGTGATCAGGAGAAAGCATTAGGGCCAGAATAGGAGGGACTTATTATCTCTGAAAAGATAGCACAGTAAACCACTTTCTTTTTTTTAGGGGAAAGCATGAACATGGGTCCCCACTACCACAAATTATGCAGTTGCAGTTTTCACATTTGGGGAAATTGCAGGAGCCAGCACATCCATAGTGCAACAGATAAGCCTCGCCCTAGGAATACCACCTTCATGATCATGGTATCTCCCCTGCAGGTAGGTATGCACAGTGATTTAAGTTTACACAATATGACCTGGCTAGAGAACTTAACACAACTGGTTAAAATAACAGCAGAACCTTAATTATATTTTCTGAAGTAAATATCCAGGCACCCCACATGGCCTTCAGGGCTTGTAGGCAGGTGGGAGCTCTCTGTCATCTGACTTTCTACAGGAGGCAGTGACACTGGGCAGAGCCTAGTGGTGCCATGGTCCCCATGGAAACCAAATACAGACTCGGACTTGGAAGGGACCAAATCCAGTGAGGAATGTTGGCAGGGGCCCCAGGAATGTCTAGCTCTCTCTTATAGAGATTATGAGTAATTTTGAAATGTGTAAAAGTCTCCTCTGTTCCACATTTTAAGATACAGACAACATACAATATAAGATGCAGGGAGCTTCCCTGGGGATGTGGTAAGAGGACAAAAGGAGCCCAGATATCTGGGGTCTACATCTTGCTGTGCTAGAGTCATGAGGTCAGCATGGGAGAACTGAACTCTGAAAACCAGGTGGGGCATGCTCAACTTCCAACCACCCCAGGGAAAATGGTTTCTCTTCCCCTTTGTCAAGCAAGTGAAGAAAAATCATTTAAGGCCAGAATTGGGAAATCTCAGCATGCACATGTCCAAAGACAGTGTAGGGGGTATGTACATGCAAGGAGCAGAAAGTTCAGTGGGGCCCAGTTGTTTGAGTCATACTCACCTTTGCAGATCTGTACAACTCCCATGATGATGATCAGGGCCAGGGCCAGGAGCTTCCCAGCTGTGAAAATGTCTTGAACCCGGGTGGCCCACCGCACACTGGCACAGTTGACCCATGTGAGGAGCACTAAAATGACAGACCCACAAATATACGCTCAGGGCTATGATGAGGCTGTATGTGGCCCTCTGCACAGAAGCAGAAATGCTCCTTGCTTCTGATGAGGGGATTGTAACAGGCAAGCCAAATTTTCCTCAAGCTCAGCCCCAATGTCCAGAAACTTTGGCTAGTTTAATGGGTTACAAATGGGGATTAAGTGCTTCAAATTAGAGTTCGGTCAGAGCATGCCCTGCCCAGGGCTGGAAGCCAGAATTAGGCATGGAAGTGTAGGCACTGAGTTTGAGGAAAATCAGCATCTGACCAGGGTGCAAGTATGGGCTTTTTTTTCAGGCCATTGTATGTTCAGGCCCCCCACCCCAGCAGCTGGTGTATCCTAGTGTCATCTTCCTCAGCCTAATTTTGGAACAACAGAGGGTTAGGGGGAATCTTTTTATACATGAGAGACACACACACACACAGAGGCAGAGACATAGGCAGAAGGAGAAGCAGGCTCCATGCAGGGAGCCCAATATGGGACTCGATCCTGGGATCACGCCCTGGGCTGAAGGTAGGCGCTAAACCTCTGAGCCACCCAGGGTCCCCTCTTTCTTGCTTTTTAAAGATTTTATTTATTCATGAGAGACACAAAGAGAGAGGCAGAGACATAGGCAGAGGGAGAAGCAGGCTCCCTCTTGGGTGCCCAATGTGAGACTCGATTCCAGGACCCCCAGATCTCATGACCTGAGCCAAAGGCAGACGTTCAGCCACTAAGCCACCCAGGTGCCCCTATACAGACCCTTTCCAACACTCCAAAAAGTTCACTGTCTTGCACGTTGAGCTCCTTTGAGGGTCAGTTCCCTTCCCCTACCTCTGGCAGCCGCTAATTTGGTTTCTCTCCCTATAGTTTTGCCTTTTCCAAAAATGTCACAGGAACAGAATCATACAATATGTAGACTTTTGTGTCTGGCTTTTTTCACTTTACATGATGCTTTTGAGGTCCATTCATGTTGCTGTGTGTATCAATAGTCCCTTTATTGTCAGGTAGTACTCCATTTTATGTATCGGTTTTCTACTCACTGGCTGATGGACAACTGGGTTGCTCCCAGTTTGGGGCTATTATGAATAAAGCTGCTATAAACATTGCATAGAAGTCTTTAAGTAGACTGTAGATGACTTTGAGAAAGGTTTTCCTTTCCCTTGAATAAATATCCAGGAGAGAGATTCTGAGTTATAAGGCAAATGTATAACTTTATTTTTAATTTTTTTTAAAAAAGATTTTGGTATTTTTTTTTTAAAGACATCTCTACACACAACGTGGGGCTTGAACTCAGAGCCCTGAGATCAAAAATCACGTTCTACTGACTGAGCCAACCAGGTGCCCCCTAAATGTATGTTTTTGTAAGAAATAGCCAAACTGCTTTCCAAAGTGGCTACATTGTTACCATTTCCACCACCAATGTGGGTGAGTTCCTATTGCTCTGAATCCTTTCAGCATTTGGTATTGTCAGCTCCAAAAGTTTGGCTATTCTAATAGGTATGTAGTGGTGTCCCATTGTGGTTTCAGTTTGCATTTCCCTCATGACTGATGACGTTGAGCATGTTTTCATGTGCTTATTTGCCACTATCCCTGATTTTTCTTTAGTGGCATGGGGGCTTTTAACTCTGCCTTCTAACCTAGGAATCATAGAGCTCCTACAGAGATCCAACAACATGGAACCTCCAAGGGCTGGAGGAGAGTTCAGAGGCTGAATCCTAGGACGGAGGGATTCCAATTTCACAGCCACACTCTGCAGGCAACCCAGGGAGCCTGTGCCACAGAAATGGGACTCTCACCTTTCTGGTGCTAGGAAGTCCTTGAGAACAAAGGGAAGGAGTTAAAACTCTCCTGTTTCTCCTTCCTCTGAGACAGTGACCAGGATGCGCCCCAGTCCTCCACAGTACAAGTCACACATGTAGAAGCACCAGGCTTTCTTCTCAAGCTCTAGCCAGGCCTCTGACTTTACTTGAACAGTTGATCAAGTTATGTCAATACCTGATCCTCAAACTGTGTGTTTACTTTTCAAGTATTTTCCAACCTTACTTGATTTTGAGACCACTTCAACAGGGAAGGACCTGACATTATTATCTATCTGTAACCTTTCTCTCCACACCATCCCTACCTGGCAAACTCCTCATCTTTCAAGATACAGCTCAAATGTTGCCTGTTCTGTGAGTCTTTATTATTTCACTTATTCCTGACAATGTGCTGGCTGCAAGGTAAGATGGATCAGCCACATTTTATAGACAAGGAACAAAGTTTGTCCTTCCTCTCTATTCTCAGATCACTTTGTTTATATTTAATTTTGGCATCTACTTCTTTGTATTATAATGATGTGTCTTCATGTAGACTAGGAGGGTAGGGACTGTGACTTCACATGCTTTTAATCCCAGGGCATCATTAACACCTGCAAATAGCAGGTGCTCAACAAATATTTAATACTTGGATACAGAAAATGCCCCAATTCATTAGCCCGGCAATCTCAGATCAGTCTACACATTCTACAATTGCACACAATATCCTCTGCTCCCCAGGAATCTCATCAAAAGGAGACATGATCCCTAGTTGGTTGTACAGAACCAAAAGAACAACAGGAAACTTGACTTCAAGAGTAGACACTCTTGACTCCTCATGGAGGAGCTGTTTTCCAAGATGGTGTCATATAAGGAGAACCAAAACATGTTGTCAGAGGAAGGATTTTAAGTGCCTGAACAGAGAGAACAACTTGTAAATACTCGAATGTTCCAGATGGACTGAGACATTCTGATAAACACACATTTGGTTTATCTTACTCAATTCAAAAAGGATTTCAGGATCACATGCCTGGTGACAATCTAACCCAAATCACTGTAAGCAACAGGGCCTGTGATCTGTTTCTCCTCAGGGCCCTGAGGACTACTAGGTACAAGACTGGGCCCCCAGGCCCTAGGAGTTGAGGTAGACACAAGCAATGACTTAAGGATAAAGGAGATTGATTTATGAAAAGATTAGTACACAAAACCCATAGGGTTCAGGGATAGGTAAGGATTACAGAATAAGGAACCAGACTGTGATCACAAGGAAGAAAATTGTCTTCTACCAAGGGGAGGAGAGGGCACTGTGGGAGATGATAGGAAAGTATTTGGAGGGAGGGAAGTAAGGGATGAGCAGGACAACTCAGACATTCTTTTCCCAGCAGGTGGGGGAATGTGGCCACCTCCTGGTGGGCTGGGATAGAAAACATAAAATCATCTATCTCTTTAAGAGAGGTACCTTGTCAAGGCAGTTAGAAAGATTCCTTCAAACAGCTCCACAGTATTCCTAGGGGATGGGAGATGTTTGAAGGAAGGGATTATTTGTCAAACAAACTTGTTGTGGGTGTCTTGTGTCCCACCTGACCTTATCTTCACAATTTCACAAGAACCCAGCCTTGACTAATATTTAACCTTTTACCATTACAGAGATCTTCCAGAAATAAAAAGAGAAATCCTGAGAATGAGGTGGGGAGACATTTTGCTTGTGACACTAATCTCCTTAGAACAATGGCTGCAGGCCCTCACACCTGACCTTTCACCCTGCAGTTGGGTGATCACAGCATGTGACTGAAGGGAAAGAGGGCACTTTCAGTCTCCCGCTACCACAGGATAGATTCCCTCACAGCAGGCTGAAACCTGAGCCTCCAGAGAGGAAAGGTCAGTGAGGGAAGGCAACGACTGTCAGGTGCTTGCCGAGTCCCTGCCTTGTTCAGGCATCCTGTTTCTGCCTGTCTGCTACCCAGAGCTCCTTTCTGTTGTTAATGGCTATGCCCTCTCTCTCTTCTTAGCCAGACCCTGCATGCTACATCCTTGAGAAACAGTGACCTCAGGGAAGCCACATGTAGATGGGACTAGTGGCCACTGCAGCTCGAAATGTGAGGGTTTTCATCCATCCATCTATCTACCCAACCATCATCTACAAAGGGCCTACATGTGCTTGGCACTCTGGTAGGTGGGAGAGTTATAAGACACAAGTCTCTGTCCTCAGGAAGTTGAGAGCATAAGGTGGGGGAAATGAGTGAGCCCATGGGAGGGCCAATGAATGCCTTCCCACATGGATCCCTAAACCAATCCCATTCCTTTTGCCAAGCCAGCTTCTCCTTCCTGGACCACACTGTTCTGGTGTGATGGGGTGAAAGCCAGGACGTGGCCATTTGGAGAGGGGACTGGACTGATTGTTCTTTTTTAAGATTTTATTTATTATTCAAGAGGAGACAGAGAGAGAGGCAGAGACACAGGCAGAGGGAGAAGCAGGCTCTATGCAGGGAACCTGACGTGGGACTCTATCCCGAGTCTCCAGGATCATGCCCTGGGCCGAAGGAGGCGCTAAACCGCTGGGCCACCCAGGGATCTCCATGGACTGATTGTTCTAAGAAGAGTGCTCAGAAGAATGAACTGTGCCCTACTATCCAGAGGCACATTTCTAGCCTCATGAACAATCAGAGCCAGGAATGACCTGAGAGATTCAGAAACTCATTTTATATGCGAGTGGAGTAAGACCCCAGCTAATGTCCCCCTGCCCTCCCTCCAATTCCCAGTTGCTTATTCTGCCCCTATGTCAGCCTTTCTTTTATCACATACACATTATTCTACTTACTCTTTGCCCATTCCCACATTCTCTCTCACCCTGCTCCTGTCAATGGTACCCATGATCATTGCTCAAATGCTTGAGTCAGTCACCTGAAGATACCAGCCAATTTTGTTTCCAGGACAGCGGGAAGTAAGATGCCAATGTGGCAAAAGGGGGAAGACTAAGATGGCTACCCCTGAGAGACTGCTGCTTCCAGAGCTTTAGAAAATTATTTCCCACTGGCAGACCTGACTCCCTGCCTTGTATTCCCTTCTCTGGCCCCTTGTCTATGTCACCATCATGTGTTCTCTTGAACTCTGGGAACTTCTTAGGATTTCTTGGTCTTGCTGGCTTCTATCTTCCTCGGGAGTGGGCTGGAGGCAGCTTGGAAAGGTTTGTTTTCCTTTAG